CTAATCGCCTTCTATGATGAGATTTCTGGTTCTGTGGATGAAGGGAAAGCATCTTGTATCTTGACTTTAGCAAAGCTTTTGACACGGTCTCCCACAGTATTCTTTTCAGCAAATTAAAGAAGTATGGGCTGGATGATTGCACTGTAAGGTGGGTAGAAAGTTGGCTAGATTGTCGGGCTCAACGGGTAGTGATCAATGGCTCCATGTCTAGTTGGCAGCCGGTGTCAAGTGGAGTGCCTCAGGGGTCGGTCCTGGGGCCGGTTTTGTTCAATATCTTCATAAATGATCCGGAGGATGGTGTGGATTGCACTCTCAGCAAATTTGCGGATGATACTAAACTGGGAGGAGTGGTAGATATGCTGGAGGGCAGGGATAGGATACAGAGGGACCTAGACAAATTGGAGGATTGGGCCAAAAGAAATCTGATGAGGTTCAATAAGGATAAGTGCAGGGTCCTGCACTTAGGACGGAAGAACCCAATGCACAGCTACAGACTAAGGACCGAATGGCTAGGCAGCAGTTCTGTGGAAAAGGATCTAGGGGTGACAGTGGACGAGAAGCTGGAGATGAGTCAGCAGTGTGCCCTTGTTGCCAAGAAGGCCAATGGCATTTTGGGATGTATAAGTAGGGGTATAGCGAGCAGATCGAGGGATGTGATCGTCCCCCTCTATTCGACATTGGTGAGGCCTCATCTGGAGTACCGTGTCCAGTTTTGGGCCCCACACTACAAGAAGGATGTGGAGAAACTGGAGAGAGTCCAGCGAAGGGCAACAAAAATGATTAGGGGTCTGGAACACATGACTTATGAGGAGAGGCTGAGGGAACTGGGATTGTTTAGTCTGCGGAAGAGAAGAATGAGGGGGGATTTGATAGCTGCTTTCAACTACCTGAGAGATGGTTCCAGAGAGGATGGTTCTAGACTGTTCTCAGTGGTGGAAGAGGACAGGACAAGGAGTAATGGTCTCAAGTTGCAGTGGGGGAGGTTTAGGTTGGATATTAGGAAAAACCTTAATTAGGTCTAATGGGGCGGAAAACCTGGATTTGTGCTGGAAATGGCCCAACTTGATTATCATACACATTGTAAGGAGAGTTATCACTTTAGATAAGCTATTACCAGCAGGAGAGCAGGGTGGGGGGGAGAGAAAACCTTTTGTAGTGGTAAACACCCATTTTTTCATGCTTTGTGTGTATAAAAAGATCTTCTATACTTTCCACAGTATGCATCTGATGAAGTGAGCTGTAGCTCACGATAAAGTTTATGCTCAAATAAATTGGTTAGTCTTTTAGGGTATGTCTACACTACGGAATAAGGTCGAATTTATAGAAGTCGGTTTTTTAGAAATCGGTTTTATATATTCGAGTGTGTGTGTCCCCACAGAAAATGCTCTAAGTGCATTAAGTGCATTAACTCGGCGGAGCGCTTCCACAGTACCGAGGCTAGAGTCGACTTCCGGAGCGTTGCACTGTGGGTAGCTATCCCACAGTTCCCGCAGTCTCCGCTGCCCATTGGAATTCTGGGTTGAGATCCCAATGCCTGATGGGGCTAAAACATTGTCGCGGGTGGTTCTGGGTACATATCGTCAGGCCCCCGTTCCCTCCCTCCCTCCGTGAAAGCAAGGGCAGACAATCGTTTCGTGCCTTTTTTCCTGAGTTACCTGTGCAGACGGCATACCATGGCAAGCATGGAGCCCGCTCAGGTAACTGTCACCCTTTGTCTCCTGGGTGCTGGTAGACGCGGTACGGCATTGCTACACAGTAGCAGCAACCCCTTGCCTTGTGGCAGCAGACGGTACAGTACGACTGGTAGCCGTCATCGTCATGTCCGAGGTGCTCCTGGCCACGTCGGCTGGGAGCGCCTGGGCAGACATGGGCGCAGGGACTAAATTTGGAGTGACTTGACCAGGTCATTCTCTTTAGCCCTGCAGTCAGTCCTATTGAACCGTCTTATGGTGAGCGGGCAGGCGATATGGACTGCTAGCAGTCGTACTGTACCATCTTCTGCCGAGCAGCCATGAGATGTGGATGGCATGCAGTCCTTCTGCACCGTCTGCTGCCAGCCAAAGATGTAAAAGATAGATGGAGTGAATCAAAACAAGAAATAGACCAGATTTGTTTTGTACTCATTTGCTTCCCCCCTCCCGTCTAGGGGACTCATTCTTCTAGGTCACACTGCAGTCACTCACAGAGAGGGTGCAGCGAGGTAAATCTAGCCATGTATCAATCAGAGGCCAGGCTAACCTTCTTGTTCCAATAAGAACGATAACTTAGGTGCACCATTTCTTATTGGAACCCTCCGTGAAGTCCTGCCTGAAATACTCCTAGATGTAAAGACACCCCCTTTGTTGATTTTAGCTCCCTGAAGCCAACCCTGTAAGCCGTGTCCTCAGTCGCCCCTCCCGGCGTCAGAGCAATGGCAAACAATCGGGCATCTGAGAGTGCTGTCCAGAGCAGTCACAATGGAGCACTCTGATGGGGCTAAAACATTATCGCAGGTGGTTCTGGGTACGTATCGTCAGGCCCCCGTTCCCTCCCTCCCTCCGTGAAAGCAAGGGCAGACAATCATTTCGCGTCTTTTTTCCTGAGTTACCTGTGCAGACGCCATACCACGGCAAGCATGGAGCCCGCTCAGGTAACCGTCACCCTATGTCTCCTGGGTGCTGGCAGACGCGGTACGGCTTTGCTGCACAGTAGCAGCAACCCATTGCCTTCTGGCAGCAGACGGTGCAATACGACTGGTAGTCGTCCTCGTCGTGTCCGAGGTGCTCCTGGCCACGTCGGCTGGGAGCGCTTGGGCAGACATGGGCGCAGGGACTAAATTTGGAGTGACTTGACCAGGTCATTCTCTTTAGTCCTGCAGTCAGTCCTATTGAACTGTCTTATCGTGAGCGGGCAGGCGATACGGACTGCTAGCAGTCGTACTGTACCATCTTCTGCCAGGCAGGCAAGAGATGAAGATGGCTAGCAGTCGTACTGTACCATCTTCTGCCGAGCAGCCATGAGATGTGGATGGCATGCAGTCCTTCTGCACCGTCTGCTGCCAGCCAAAGATGTAAAAGATAGATGGAGTGGGTCAAAACAAGAAATAGACCAGATTTGTTTTGTACTCATTTGCCTCCTCCCCTGTCTAGGGGACTCATTCCTCTAGGTCACATTGCAGTCACTCACAGAGAAGGTGCAGCGAGGTAAATCTAGCCATGTATCAATCAGAGGCCAGGCTAACCTCCTTGTTCCAATAAGAACGATAACTTAGGTGCACCATTTCTTATTGGAACCCTCCGTGAAGTCCTGCCTGAAATACTCCTTGATGTAAAGACACCCCCTTTGTTGATTTTAGCTCCCTGAAGCCAACCCTGTAAGCCGTGTCGTCAGTCACCCCTCCCTCCGTCAGAGCAACGGCAGACAATCGTTCCGCGCCTTTTTTCTGTGCGGACACCATACCAAGGCAAGCATGGAGGCCGCTCAGCTCACTTTGGCAATTAGGAGCACATTAAACACCACACGCATTATCCAGCAGTATATGCAGCACCAGAACCTGGCAAAGCGATACCGGGCGAGGAGGCGACGTCAGCGCGGTCACGTGAGTGATCAGGACATGGACACAGATTTCTCTGAAAGCATGGGCCCTGCCAATGCATGCATCATGGTGCTAATGGGGCAGGTTCATGCTGTGGAACGCCGATTCTGGGCTCAGGAAACAAGCACAGACTGGTGGGACCGCATAGTGTTGCGGGTCTGGGACGATTCCCAGTGGCTGCAAAACTTTCGCATGCGTAAGGGCACTTTCATGGAACTTTGTGACTTGCTTTCCCCTGCCCTGAGGCGCATGAATACCAAGATGAGAGCAGCCCTCACAGTTGAGAAGCGAGTGGCGATAGCCCTGTGGAAGCTTGCAACGCCAGACAGCTACCGGTCAGTTGGGAATCAATTCGGAGTGGGCAAATCTACTGTGGGGGCTGCTGTGATGCAAGTAGCCCACGCAATCAAAGATCTGCTGATATCAAGGGTAGTGACCCTGGGAAATGTGCAGGTCATAGTGGATGGCTTTGCTGCAATGGGATTCCCTAACTGTGGTGGGGCTATAGACGGAACCCATATCCCTATCTTGGCACCGGAGCACCAAGCCGCCGAGTACATAAACCGCAAGGGGTACTTTTCAATAGTGCTGCAAGCTCTGGTGGATCACAAGGGACGTTTCACCAACATCAACGTGGGATGGCCGGGAAAGGTGCATGATGCTCGCATCTTCAGGAACGCTGGTCTGTTTCAAAAGCTGCAGGAAGGGACTTTATTCCCAGACCAGAAAATAACTGTTGGGGATGTTGAAATGCCTATATGTATCCTTGGGGACCCAGCCTACCCCTTAATGCCATGGCTCATGAAGCCATACACAGGCAGCCTGGACAGTAGTCAGGAGCTGTTCAACTACAGGCTGAGCAAGTGCAGAATGGTGGTAGAATGTGCATTTGGACGTTTAAAGGCGCGCTAGCGCAGTTTACTGACTCGCTTAGACCTCAGCGAAACCAATATTCCCACTGTTATTACTGCTTGCTGTGTGCTCCACAATATCTGTGAGAGCAAGGGGGAGACGTTTATGGCGGGGTGGGAGGTTGAGGCAAATCGCCTGGCTGCTGGTTACGCGCAGCCAGACACCAGGGCGGTTAGAAGAGCACAGGAGGGCGCCGTACGCATCAGAGAAGCTTTGAAAACCAGTTTCATGACTGGCCAGCCTACGGTGTGAAAGTTCTGTTTGTTTCTCCTTGATGAAACCCCCCGCCCCTTGGTTCACTCTACTTCCCTGTAAGCTAACCACCCGCCCCTCCTCCCTTTAATCATTGCTTGCAGAGGCAATAAAGTCATTGTTGCTTCACATTCATGCATTCTTTATTCATTCATCACACAAATAGGGGGATGACTACCAAGGTAGCCCAGGAGGGGTGGTGGAGGAGGGAAGGAAAATACCACACAGCACTTTAAAAGTTTACAACTTTAAAATTTATTGAATGACAGCCTTCTTTTTTTGGGGCAATCCTCTGTGGTGGAGTGGCTGGCTGGCCGGAGGCCCCCCCACCGCGTTCTTGGGTGTCTGGGTGTGGAGGCTATGGAACTTGGGGAGGAGGGCGGTTGGTTACAGAGGGGCTGCAGTGGCAGTCTGTGCTCCAGCTGCCTTTGCTGCAGCTCAACCATACACTGGAGCATACTGGTTTGGTCCTGCAGCAGCCTCAGCATTGAATCCTGCCTCCTCTCATCACGCTGCCGCCACATTTGAGCTTCAGCCCTGTCTTCAGCCCGCCACTTACTCTCTTCAGCCCGCCTCCTCTCCTCCCGGTCATTTTGTGCTTTCCTGCACTCTGACATTATTTGCCTCCACGCATTCGTCTGTGCTCTGTCAGTGTGGGAGGACAGCATGAGCTCGGAGAACATTTCATCGCGAGTGCGTTTTTTTTCTTTCTAATCTTCACTAGCCTCTGGGAAGGAGAAGATCCTGTGATCCTTGAAACACATGCAGCTGGTGGAGAAAAAAAAAGGGACAGCGGTATTTAAAAAGACACATTTTATAAAACAGTGGCTACACTCTTTCAGGGTAAACCTTGCTGTAACATTACATACATAGCACATGTGCTTTCGTTACAAGGTCGCATTTTGCCTCCCCCCACCGCGTGACTACCCCCTCAACCTTCCCCCCTCCCTGTGGCTAACAGCGGGGAACATTTCTGTTTAGCCACAGGCAAACAGCCCAGCAGGAATGGGCTCCTCTGAGTGTCCCCTGAAGAAAAGCACTCTATTTCAACCAGGTGACCATGAATTAGATCTCACTCTCCTGAGGATAACACAGAGAGATAAAGAACGGATGTTGTTTGAATGCCAGCAAACATACACTGCAATGCTTTGTTCTACAATGATTCCCGAGTACGTGTTACTGGCCTGGAGTGGTAAAGTGTCCTACCATGAAGGACGCAATAAGGCTGCCCTCCCCACAAACCTTTTGCAAAGGCTTTGGGAGTACATCCAGGAGAGCTGCGAATGCCAGGGCAAAGTAATCCTTTCACATGCTTGCTTTTAAACCATATATAGTATCTTAAAAGGTACACTCACCAGAGGTTCCTTCTCCGCCTGCTGGGTCCAGGAGGCAGCCTTGGGTGGGTTCGGGGGGTACTGGCTCTAGGGTGAGAAACAGTTCCTGGCTGTCGGGAAAACCGGTTTCTCCGCTTGCTTGCTGTGAGCTATCTACAACCTCCTCCTCATCATCATCTTCTTCGTCCCCAAAACCTGCTTCCGTATTGCCTCCATCTCCATTGAAGGAGTCAAACAACACGGCTGGGGTAGTGGTGGCTGAACCCCCTAAAATGGCATGCAGCTCATCATAGAAGCGGCATGTTTGGGGCTCTGACCCAGAGCGGCTGTTTGCCTCTCTGGTTTTCTGGTAGGCTTGCCTCAGCTCCTTCAGCTTCACGTGGCACTGCTTCGGGTCCCTGTTATGGCCTCTGTCCTTCATGCCCTGGGAGATTTTGACAAAGGTTTTGGCATTTCGAAAACTGGAACGGAATTCTGATAGCACGGATTCCTCTCCCCAAACAGCGATCAGATCCCGTACCTCCCGTTCGGTCCATGCTGGAGCTCTTTTGCGATTCTGCGACTCCATCATGGTCACCTCTGCTGATGAGCTCTGCATGGTCACCTGCAGCTTGCCACGCTGGCCAAACAGGAAATGAGATTCAAAAGTTCGCGGTTCTTTTCCTGTCTACCTGGCCAGTGCATCTGAGTTGAGAGTGCTGTCCAGAGCGGTCAGAATGGAGCACTCTGGGATAGCTCCCGGAGGCCAATACCATCGAATTGTGTCCACAGTACCCCAAATTCGAGCCGGCAACATCGATTTAAGCGCTAATCCACTTGTCAGGGGTGGAGTAAGGAAATCGATTTTAAGAGCCCTTTAAGTTGAAATAAAGGGCTTCATTGTGTGAACGGGTGCAGGTTTACATCGATTTAACGCTGCTAAATTCGACCTAAAGTCCTAGTGTAGACCAGGGCTAAGGTGCCACAAGTACTCCTTTTCTTACAGCTAGTTATAGAGCAACAGCATGAGCCCCCACTACCTTGAGTCTAGCAAGCTGCTGCCACCGGGCCGTGTGGATGGACTCTCACTTGAACTGTGTCCACACTGCAAAACACATGAGTTCTGAGCTACATCAGAGGAGGATTTGAGCTCTGACCCACCACCTCCAGCAGGGTCCATAGGCCCAAATTCAACTAGTTTCTGTGTGGACAGAAGGCGGGTTTGGACTCGAGCCTAAGTTTGCGTGGACATACCCTGATACACCAGTGAGCCCAGCCCCACGGGAGCCCATGTGTGCAAGATGTAGAGGTAGCGTAAATTACTCATGCATTCCCAGAATCCTGACATTTCAGTACCCTGCTCCAGGATCCTCACACCCCATCTCAGCATGACCCTGTTCCCACATGACCAGCATTACCTCACACACAGGACATCACCTCAACCTACTGTCCTTACCCTCAGCCCCTGCCATTTTGAAGCACATGCCACTCCAACCCCTCTGGCATGACCAGGCAAAAAGTTAGGATGAGGTAGACTGACCAGATCGCAAATGTGAAAAATCGCAATGGGGATAAGGGGTAATAGGTGCCTTTTATTAGGAAAAACCCTGAATACTGCGCCTGTCCCTATAAAATCAGGACGTGTGGTCACCATAGGGCAGTGGTTTTCAAACTGTGGGTCGCAACCGAGTACTGGGTCACGGAATGAAAGGCACTGTGTTGCGGCAGCTCTTGTCATCACTGCCAACCGGGACGTTAAAAGTCCTGACGGTGGTGCTCTCCGACTAAGGCAGGGTAGTCCCAACCTGTTCGGACACTGCGCTGTGCCCCAGAAGCGGCCTTGAGCAGGTCCAGCTCCTAGGCAGGGGGTGAGTGGGGGAAGACAGATATGGGGCTCTGTGTGCTGCCCTTGCCCTGAGCACCAGCTCCGCACTCCCATTGGCCAGTTCCTCGCCAATTGGAGCTGGGGGGGGCGGGGATGATGCCTGCAGGACAGAGCCGTGAGGAGCCGGACCTGCTGCTGGATGCTTCCAGGGTGCAGCATGGTCCGTGGTGCCAGGACAGGCAGGAAGCCTGCCTTTGCACCCGGCGCTGTGCCGCTGACCAAGAGCCACCTGAAGTAAACCCATGCCCCAATCCCCTGCCCCAGTTCTGAGCCCCCCCCGCCCCTTCCTCCACTCCAACATCCTCATCCCCAGCCCAGAGCCCTGACCCCCCCCCACACCCTGGACCCAACCCAGAGCCCTCACCTCCACACCCCAAACCTCTGCCCCTCCCACACCCCAAACCCCTCATCCCCAGCTCCCTTGGGTCACAGGCATCAATAATTTTTTTCAATTGAGTCACCAGAAAAAGTTTGAAAACCACTGTCCTGGGGTGAAGTCACAGGGGCAAGGGGCTCTTCAAGATTAGGTCACACCCTTCCACACCAATACCTGGCAAATCTTGTGCCTTTTCCTCTCAGGGCCAGACCTGGACAAACCCCCAGGCTAGGCTGAGCCTCCCGGCGGAAGCTCGGGCGCCCAGCAGCCCCCTGCACGCTGTGATTTCCCCGCGGGGGCTGCGCAGCGGGGGCGCCCGGAGGGACACGCCGCGTGGAGCCGCACTGGTACCTGTGCGCGTAGTGCACGATGAAGAGCGCCACCAGGACCCGGTTCGGCCACTCGGAGAGGCGGGCCGCCCCGCTGAAGAGGCTCAGCCCCAGCGGGACCAGCAGCGACGGCAGCTCCTGCAGCGTCCAAGCCAGGCGGGCGGGCACGGGGTAGCCGAAGCGGCGACTGAAGTAGCGCCCGTACGGCATCCGCAGGAAGCACAGCAGCAGCGCGGAGAGCGCCCCTATGCCCACCAGCCCGTAGGACAGGATTTCCAGCAGCCGCCGCTCATCCGTCCTCGACTGCCACTGCCACAACGCGCCCGCCGCTTCCATGGCCTTTCGCTCAGTCCCCACCGGCCGGTGCCGCAGCGCCGCGCGCGGGGAGCAACGGCGGGGTTTGGCCACGCGGCACCAGTGAGAGCACTGGGTGGAAAAGGCGCTGACGCCTCGCCGGCCTGGGCACGCCGGAACACTAGCACCGGCGGGACAGGCAGCAGGCCAGCCAATCTGCACGATGGGGTAGGAAGAGCTGCGCTGAGCCAGAGCCCCGCCTGCCTAGCCGCCTGCCTGCCCTCGCCCTGAGCAGTGAGCCCGCCCACACAGATGTCACAATCGGAGAGGCGATACTTGGGGTGCGGCCTTGGGGGGGGGGGGTTCTGTTGCAGCTTTTCATCGACATACGACGGCACGAGTCAGGTACCCAATCTCTGCAAACATCGACTGGAGAAGTTGTGCTGTCAATCGTTTAGATTAGCTAATACAAATTTGAGACATCGGGCCGAGTTCCTACCCTTATTTCCTCATGTGGGCGACGCACAGGCGCCTAAAGACGGCATGCTCATGGGCTAGTCCAAAAAGATAAAACAATGAATCCCCACAAGTGACACAGAGATGTCCTCCCCGCCGGCTAGACCCCGGTTCATTGAAACAACGGCGCTTCCCGCTGCTGGCTGGCTCAACGAAGGAGACCATTAGCACCCTTGAGTTTATGCTGCATGCGAATCCGCGGTCAGCCCTTAGGGGGCTTTCTATGCAGTGCCGTCAGCCGGCAAGGACTCTGCGCACGCGCAAAAACTCGGCCACGGCATGCGCCACGTGACAACACTGGGTGACGGCTGGCCTTCGGTTGCGGGACAATTGCTCCGTGGCGCGTGGTAGCCGCCGGTTTCGTGCGGCGCGCGATGGGCCGCAGGCAGCGCAACCGCCAGAGGCAGCAGCAGCGCCGCGAGCGGGGCGGCGGCGGGGACGGGCAGGGCCGGGAGCAGGCGGTAAGCAGCTGCCGGGCGGGCTGGGCTGGGCTGTAGAGGCTCCGCGGGCCGAGCGCCTGTGTCCCCCGCACGCATAGGTTGCTCGGGCCCGGGGCGCGCTGAGGGTCTCTGACTCCTAGTCAGATCCTCGCGCGCGAGACCCCCCCGCCGGGAGCTCCCTGTTGCCAACCCGGGAGCCGCGCCCATGGGGCGATCTGCTCCCCTGCCTCGCGCCGCGTCTGACCCGCGGACCGCCGCCGCCTCTTACAGGGCTGGGAAGGCGGCTACCCCGAAATCGTCAAGGAGAACGCGCTGTTCGAGCGCTACTACCGGGAGCTGCGAATCGTGCCCGAGGGCGAGTGGGAGCCGTTCATGGCGGCGCTGAGGGAGCCGCTCCCCGCCACCCTGCGCATCACCGGCTACAAGAGGTGAGCGCGGCCCCGGGGGAGGGGGCGGGGCGTAGGAAGCGCTCAGCAAAAGGCCGTTTCTGCGGAGAGTGGGGGGAGCCGACCGCGCCCGCTGGGGACGCCGATGGCGCGATACACGGAAGCGGCGTCAGCCGCCTCCTGCTCTTACGCCTGCCAGGCGGTGTGTCCAGGTCCGGCAGGGGTTGTCGTGGGGGTATTTTCTTTCTTCTGGCCTAATCTGTACCTGCTTTCATCTGTAGGGTAGAGATGGCAATGGTGGCGAAAAGGTGCCCCACGTGAGAGGGGTTTATTGTGCTCTGTAATTAATTCTTCATTCCTCTTTTTTTTTGTTTTTACATCCCCTGACCAGTGCCCCCAGCAACAGGAGCAGCAGCACAGAATTGCACTAGTGCACATAACACTTCACCCAACAGGAGCAGCAGAGTGAAACTGGTGACAGTTTCTCTGTGTTGCTGGAGCTGCTGGGCAGATGGTATATGCAGGACCATCAACAAAAGTGTGATCTTGCTTCTTAAAGTGGGAAGGATAAAATCTAGGTGGTAGAAGGTAACCATCAAACAGAAATGGGAGAGAATTGATGATGGTGCCCTCAGCCCCAGATGGAAGTGTTGTAATCAGAACAGTTTTGTTTCATTGCACTCTTCAAATCAATCAACTGTTTTTTAATCAAAAACATTTTGTTCTTTCTTTAGCCATGCAAAAGAAATTCTGCACTGCTTGAAGAACAAGTATTTCAAGGAGTTGCAGGACCTGGTAGTTGATGGGCAAAAAATTCAAGTGCCACAATCGCTAAAGTGGTAAGAAAACTAAGACACTTTGTAAACTCAGAATATGTTGTTTCAAGAGTTTAGCTTGCTCTATTCCTTTGCTACCTTATCTAGTAATTAATGTATATACTATTAGTAGTGGAATTCACTGACCTTAAAGTTGAATCCTGGATTTGGCTAGTTGTTCTTGAAAGATACCCACTGGCTAATCAAATCTTATTGCTTATAACTAATGACCCCTTTTAGCATTAAGCATAATTTTTATACATATTATAACTTTCTTGGTGCTACTAAAAATGGATTTTAGGGTGCTCAGTAGTACTGTTTTTGGCAGATATTTCTCTATCGCATTTTAATACCCAAAATGAAGTTTCTTACAGAATTAATTTTTTTTTACATCGTATATATTTTTTAGTAAAAGGAAAACGCCACATAGTTATTTGAAAAGTTTTGTATCCATTGTAGTTACTAGTGACCACCTAAGATTATTATAACTGAACGGAAAAAGATCTGGGGGAGGGGAGAATCTCTATTTTTTCAGTTCATTTTTCAGAATCAGTCTTAATTTGTCTGATTGCAGAGCTAAGTTAACCAGAGCTAAGTTCTCTCTAAGCTGTGCAGCCGTGCAGCAGCCTATTAACCACTGTGCAGGTGCTCAGTGCTGTGGCAGGGAAAGATGCTTCTCCCCCGGCCCCAACCCAGCCTGGCCTGGACCTGCCGCGGACAGGGAAGAGGTGCCTATTTCGTGGCCCCGGCCCCAGAGCTCTCTCCTTGCCGTAGCCCTGGGCAGCCTGCACCCCAAACCCCTTATCCCTGGCCCTACTCCAGAGCCCGCACCCCCCTGCACTCCAACCCTCTACCTCATCCCTGAGCCCCCTTCCACTCCTACCGTCAACCCCACCCCTGCCACATGAATTGTTTCTCCATATGTTGCACATAACAAAATTCATTCTGGACATGTGTGTGAAAAATTAGAGGGAACGCTGTTGTGGCTGTACTTCGCTGTACGCTGACTGCTTGCCACAGCACAACAAAGTATAGTCCAGTGGAAGTTTTTGGGGCAGTGGTTTGTGTGATCTTTCTGATAGTCTGCTATGAATCACAGCTATATCCGTTGTGATGCTGCTTTAGTGTAAAGGTTAATAATAGCCTCACAAAGTGTATCCAGTACTGACATAGGTAGGAGCGGGAATATTGTAGTTTGATAATGTCCTGTTCTGTTGAGTTTACACATTTTCTTACTTTTTCTTTCTTATGTTCTTATGAGATCAGATGGTCCCATGACAGATTTTGGCCTGGGTATCTGTGGTGTGGATTCAGCTAAGTTGTTACAATGAAAGAGTCATAGTGAGAGTTGTAACAGAATTGTTTAAAGCCTGGAATCTTAAAAGTCTAATATTTCTCTTACTTGACCATCTTACATATTTTAATTTTGTACTGTGTTCTGCACGCTTCAGACAACTTGTATGTAAATAATTTAGACAATTTGTAAATTGCCTAAAGAAAAGTGGCTGTATATTTTCATTTAGAAAGATTTTTGAAGTTGCATTAGTTTCTGGTGAGTTTGCACTGGGTGTCTCTCTTTGTTTATTCAGGTATCCAGAAGAGCTAGCATGGCACACTAACTTGAGCAGAAAAATCTTGCGGAAGTCACCACAACTGGAAAAGTTTCATCAGTTTCTGGTTAGCGAGACAGAATGTGTAAGTCTTTTTTTTTTTTTTTTTTTTTTTAAATAAAATGTAACAAACAAATAAATGAATTGTGTCCAAAGCTGAATTTTCTTTTTAGAACCAGAACACTTTTTATTGGGAAGTGAAGGCTTTTCTACGTATTACTGACAAAGTGCTCTATAGGGTGTGATTTGTAAAGTCCTAACATGCTCAACTCTTAACTGCTTCATGTAGGAAGTCCTAATGCACTCTGAACAGGTCCCTAGTTCACGTTAATGCCAGCAAGATCTACGTGGGACAGTTAATATGAACTAGGTACTTTTTAGATTGTGCCAGCAGGGTTTATGTGGGGCAGTTAGAACGGCACATGTTAGCGTGCTTACAAATCACCCCTGTGGTGTACTTTGCTACACTGAGTAGACAATCCATGATAGTGATCACTTAGTCTATAATTATGGCTTCTGTTTTTGTGGATTTATTAATTTGATGATTTGGGTTTGTTTTTTAGCAATTTTTGTGTTTTATGTAGCTGTTCATATCAGAGTTGTGGGGGGAGGTTTTCTCTTTGTGTATGCTTTAATGAGTAATGTGTATTATATACATTACTCACTGTAGAAGTATATACTGTGATGAGTAGTCTCTTTGTAATGTTTCCTAGTGCACTTCGTGTAGTACTGTTTCAAACAAAACTGTTAAAATGCTCTAGGGAGCCTTTTATACACACCAACAGGTTTACATGGCCTAATTAATGTGCAACACGTTAGTGTGCCTTAGAAATCACACCCCTGTAGTCCACAATACTGCTCTGTATAGACAAGCTTTCAGGTACAAGTAACCGTTTCTCGCAGTGCTTTTCCAGTGTTTATTGGATAAACACTGCTATCTTTATTATTATTTATTATTATTTATTTTGTATTTGGGGTGTTTTATCAGTGTTCAAAAGTCCTGTCTATGATTTCTGGAGAGGTAGGTTAAGGTCACAATAGGTCTCATGAAAATCTATTTGATCTCATCCTAGCCCATTTTGGACAGTGTTTAATATCACAGGACCAGAACAGAGCAACAATAACAAAAAGTTTGGCCTAAATTTTAAAAAGTGACTAGTGGATTTTGAGTACCTCTAATTTTGAAATGCCCAACTTGACGTGCCTTAAAGGTGCTTTAATACCCCTCCCACCCCCACCCCCCTTTTCCCAGAAGGGAGATGCAGTGCTGAGCATTTCAGGTGGTTCAAGGTAAGTATCCGAAAATGCATGAACCCAAAATCACTAGTTACTGTTTGAAAACATAGGCCTTTGGCTGTCTCTGTTAGAAAGGCTTTTGTTGAGAATAATAGAACATAGGTTTCAGGATTCAAATTCATTAACAGAGAAAGGTGGGGAAGCTTGTACAATGCTTATCTGAACTATGCTTGACTGGAGACACTTGCTGTAGTTGCTTGCTCTTGAGTACCAAATACATCCCTAATCTTAAGGGAAAGAAGAGACATTCGAATAGGATAAACTAATGTTGTTCGTTTGACTCATATTTGTCAGGTTTGTGTGAGCTTGATATTTAAATTTGTAATGAAATTTAGAATGCATGAGTGCAATGTCAGAATTATTCTTATTATTTATGTTACCATAGTGCCTAGAAACCTTAATCATGGAACAGCACATTATTGTGAATGGATATGAGCAGGGCAAGATTGTATTTAAGGCCAGAGAAAAAGATGTTTGTAGTAATTGAGGTGTAAGGTAAGCACTTGACTGAGAGATTTAGCTGTGTGGATGGATTGGAAGGGCCACATTTTA